CACATACACACAGCCCAGACCCACAGAGCAACAACCCTTTTTAAATCTATCTATCTATATAGTAATCCCCTTCCCCACACATTTGATCTCACCCACGGTTAGGCCGTCACATCTAGTAATGGCTCACTGATGCAAGTTCAACATCACATCCACCAAGGAAGAAAAGGAAGCAACAGACAGTAACATAGTTTACCATGCTAGCGTCTGCCCACGTCTGCTCTGCAGCACAGCCAAGAAGGAACAGAGCAATGGAGATAGGGGAAGTGGTTATCTCTGTCCTGACTTGTAAAGGTATTGAATTACCCAATTACCATATCAAAGGGTAAAGCTTATCCCCCTGTAAGAAAGGCATACATGAGCTTGGTCACATGACCCCTGGTCACCATATTAACTTGATGACCAGACATGTAGTTGTAATGTAATTCACCTCAGATTAATTCACAGAGGGACCATTAATCTATATATTTGGCAACAGTGGTCTTTTTTTTCTCTTTTTATGAATGTGGTGCATTTAGTATACAATAAATAAATTTTTGCAGATTTACACATTGATTATTTTTTTATGCATATTTTATAATTTATCTAATATGGAGATTCACAATTATATCAGAGTCAAGGAATTTTTGGATACTTATTTATGTAAAAATAATTTCAACAAAATCAAAAAAATGGAAAAAAATTAAATATATAATCTACTTGTAAAGTATTCTCGAAATGTTCTACATTATTTAAATGTAAAAATGATAATACTATAATTCCCTCTTAGAAAAAATGGTCCTTAGAATTGAAAATCCATATCAAATACGAAAATAGGCTGAAAGCCATTAGGTTAGCCAATTCTTTAATTCATTGTTTAAATATTACGGAAATGCAATTCAAATTATGGCATAGGTGGTATCTCTTCCATTCTAAATTAGCATTCATGTATCCTCAATATGCAGATAGATGATGGAGATGCGGTTGTAATGAAGATACCTACATTCATATTGGGTGGGAACGTGCTTTAATCAAAACGCTATGGTCAACAGTATTTGATAAAGTAAAAATACTTACCAAATTCAATTTACATAAATGTCCCCAAAGTACTCTCCTCCATTTAAATTGGTACAATACGGTCCTTCACAAAAGGTTAGTCTGCAAACTAAAAGAAATTGGTCTAGATGAATATTCTTGTTCTTGGGTAGAACATTGGCTTAAGGATAGAGTACAACGAGTTGTCATTAATGGTAAATTTTCAAGCTGGACAAAAGTGGTAAGTGGTGTCCCTCAGGGTTCTGTTATGGGACCGCTTCTATTTAACATATTTATAAATGATCTTGCAATAGGCATTGAAAGCCATGTTTTGGTGTTTGCAGATGACACAAAACTTTGTAAAGTAATAAAATGTGAGCAGGATATTGCTTTGCTGCAGAGGGATTTAGATAAATTGGGGTACTGGGCACTAAAATGGCAGATTAAATTTAATTATTATTATGATATTTATAGAGCATCGTCAAATTCCGCAGCGCTTTACAATGGGTGGACGAACAGACATGTAGTTGTAATGTAATGTAGAGAAATGCAAAGTTATGCACTTCACGGTCGAGAATGCACAAGCAACTTACACCCTAAATGGTAGTGAATTAGGGGTAACCACACACAACAAGGATTTGGGAATTGTTATAGACAACAAATTAGGCAGCAACATTCAATGTCAATTTGCAGTTGCTAAGGCCAATAAGGGTTTTGAAAATTAGTGGCCCCACAATTGTACGAGTATCATAAGGTGGGATCAGATAAGGGGATAACCCTAAAGTAAATTGTGGAAAAAGAAGAGATCTGTCCCAATAAATTATTTAAAATCGAAAAAAATACTTTATTGGTAGCAAAAAACTAAACAAACAATCATATATAGATGCTATAATTACCACATTGAAAGAATATGATGTGGTAAAATGCTCTAATATACTAAATAAACATGGGTAAGGGTAATGTGCAGTGGGATAAGGAGGTGAATGTACAAACAAATAAAATGCTGGGCGAAAAGAAAAAACTCAGAGGTGTAAAGGTGCACCCCAGTAGAATAGCTGGAAAAGAACGAAGTATACTGACACAGGAAATACACAGTAGCAGAAACATGTAAAGTATCCAACATGTATCAATTGGATACAACAATTATGTATCTGTCTAAGGTGTCAGGACATCTGATAACAATTCACTGAGCGATATCTGTGGTATAATATACCACATGACAGGATGCTTCCTATTTGCATAACTCTCTTTACTGAAAATCTCCAGCAGCACAGAAACAGTAACAACCAATCAGAAAAACGTAGATGGCATATAAAAGGCCCTGACAGTGACATCTTTTCCTATTTCTTTGTTGCTCCAGGCTGCACAGGTCAGAATATTTTGTCTCTCCTGATTTTGTATTTAATTGTTGACTTTTATATGATTATTTTCTACTACCTACTCTTTACTTCTTATCTACTCTCTCAGCTCTCCTGTCCCTGTACCCTCCGTGCTACCTATTGGCTTTATTTTGACTTGTTCCCAGTCCCATTTTTATTTCTCTGTTTTGTCTTGAAAGTCTCTCTCTCTCAACCCGGTCCTTGGGCGGCACGACTATCAGTGCTGCGCTCGCACCGCGGACCTTATGGTTAGTCATTCTATTTGCTATTCTGGGACTGTGGGGGGTCGGGGGGAGGGAGAGCGGGACTCTTATCTGCAGCGCAGTGGGCCCGCAATGAGCGGGAACATTGCTTTCTGCTATGTGCGATCGTCGGCCATTTTGGATCTCGCAGGTGATGCGAGATCCTCATCGGCCATCTCTCTACTCACCTCTGCAGATCGGGAACTCACCCACTCTGCTCCTCAACACTATTTCTTCCTCCTTTACCTATCTCTTCATTAAAGAAACTCAACACACCCTGAGCTCCCCTCACGTATATATAGTTTACACTGCATAGCAAATTAGCATTAAAGTTACAGTGCCAAAAATTCAATGACAACAGAGATCAACTATGCCTGATTGCATTCAAGTTACAGTACCTTCCCAAGGATCCCTAGAAACTGAGTATTTTGCAAAGTACATTTTCTTAAGCTTATCACATGAAATTAATAAGTGCCATTTCTGAAGGAATCCGAGTGTATAGATATACTGCCTGAGGGCATATTTATGCTAGTACCCTACCCAGGGTTATTTACATACATACTGTACCAAGAGTACAAACAGACTGTGGTTGTCCTCTGACGTTTTTCATGGCAGACCACCAGGCCGGATATTGTGCCTATGTTACCGTGGGTGTCCTCTGATCATCACGGCACACTACCTGGGGTGAACCCCAGCTAAGTACATGCGGGTATGCTACAACAGTAAAATATTTATGCACTGAATGCCACCCTATGACACATCTAACTGAACTTACTGTGTTTTCAACTCCGGGTACAACTGTGGTGCACCCAGTGCATAGAGACGACCAGGTCTCTGCAAATACCTAGGGTAACCCTCCTGTCATAACAGGTGCGAGGGCCCTCCTGGATTGGCACACAAATTCTATACACTCACGAGCCACAATAAACTTACATTTTGGGTCACTTCAACCTGGGCTAGCCCCAGTTGTACGAGGAGGCTGATACCTCTATGTGATTGCCCGTTACTATTGCACCTGACTGTCCGTCACTGTTTTACAGACATGGAAAACACAGCGCAATCAACCCAGGACTTCCAGGCTATGATCAACGCCGTGGTTGCATCCTCAGTAGAAAAGGCGCTACTGCGGGCATTACCCCTGCCACAAGGAGACATAGCCTCATTACCCCTACCACAGGGAGACATAGCCTCAGGTTCAGAGAGATCAAGGTCCAAACGACACAGGAAGGGCACAAGCTTCCCAGCCTCAAGGACCAAAGGCAAAGCAACGGTTTAACAGTCCTGTGACGGACCGCTGGCACTCCGACCGAGTACCTCCGCCAATCGATGCTCCTAGCACTTGCCGAGGACTACGAGCACTCCAACCGACACCACCAGCACTACGGACCCCACTTCCAGTGATGCAGCTGCGCCGAGGTCTCACCGTCTCTCACCCACCCTGGATCCACGATCAGGATCCAGCTCCCAGTGGGTGAACCTCTCCTAAATCCAGAGAGCGTAGCAGGAACAAATCAAGCTCTTACAAGAGCTTACTCTGGGGAGTAAGTGATTATCGCAATCCCCAGAGTGTAGGTATCCCTTCCCCCAAGCATGAGCCAAGGCTTCAAGAAAGGTGCAAGTAGGTCTGGTTTATTGAGGGCTACCTGCCTGGTATTTATGCAAGTGTCCACCAGGTGGACACTCCCCTAGGGGACCTGATGGAACAATGGGACACATATTGGATGTTAGCCAATCACAGACAATACAAACAAAACACTCCCACAGTGACATCACAATCCCTCCTCTCTATCCTGGAGATAATTGGGAAGTAATCAAATTATCTCCCAGAACAGAGGCAAGACTCCATTAACCACATGGTCACAAAAAGACATAAAATTACACAATGTTACAATTACTACATAAAACATATACATGCAACATATCCCCAGATAGCTTAGATCTGAGTGCACATTATTACCGAATGGCGCTCAGATCACATACATACAGTTCAATCACCATGGAGCCAAAGTCTTTTCCATAGTCTTTCGTTACACGAATAGGCTCCATGGCATAGCTATCTGGGCTAGCACTACTCACATACTGAAAGTCCCGAACGCCCCGGCAGAAATACACAAATAAACCTTTCTGCAGGGTAAAATACACCTATCAGCACAGGGGCCATAGTCGGAGGCAGGAGGCTAGCCAGTAGTCCCCTCCTGGCACAAGTGGCGAAGGGCACTTCATCACAAGCCCAAACATGGGGGGCAACGGAACCCCACTCCCCCTCCACTACCTTCCTCTGATGAGGAGGAATATGGCCCACAGGACGGCCTTAGTGTCGTGGACGAGTGGCGCGAAGACGCTCCACTCTCGGACGAGGACGACTGGCAGGACCTACCACAACCATTCTGCCAATATGTCACAGAGACAGTCCTTGAGGAGGCGGTCGAACACAAACAGGCCCGGAGGGCCCAGAAGACTAAGGCGACCAAAGATGGTACCTTCTTGGACGAACAAGGAGTGCCACTCTTCGACCCTCGGAACATTCGCCATCCCCGATCTTTGGAATGGACCCTCCCCGACCACGTGACAAGCTTCATACACTTCTGGCTACTCAAGCCTCTCGAAAGGGCACGAGCACGTCCTAGGCCACTCCTACCGGACAAAATAGCCTGTGCCCCGGAATGTGACACCACTGTGGTGGCATTCATGTCCCGTCCTGGACGGGACCCACGCAAAGGCTTAAAAGCTGTACAAGACAAGCTATTAGACATACTAGGCCCTTTGGCCAAGATCCTCTATTTCGCAGACATGGCGCTTTCCCAAGGCATCCAGTTGGATGGGAAACTCCATTAGGGAATGGGCGCAACGGGCCATATGCCTGTTGGGAAATTCGAACACAGTGCTATGCACCGAACGACGCAGAACGGCCTTACTCCGCATTGCCACCAAACTAGGACCAGAAGCCAAAGGCCTACTGTTTGAAGAGGCCTTCATTGTCGAACTAAAAAGACACATTAACCTATTCACAACACTTAACAAGGCACAGACATCCTTGAAACAAGTATTCCGAGCACCACCTGGAAGAGGTGTTTTCGGCCGGGCTGGTCGGCAGCAGAGCAGTGCCACCAGCCGGCTTTGGTCGTCATGCTCCAGAAGCTATCCACAGACATCCAACTTCTTTCCTGCCACGACCCAGAAATCCTCCTTCTACAGAGGCACAGACAGAACCAGAGGCTCCAGAGGCCATGGACGTAGTTGCTTCACAATGGGTAAGTGTCCATACTGGTCCATCTGTTGCCAGTTTCACTCGTTGCCAGTCCAAATATGTCCCCCGCCACCGATTCATATGTCTATGGAACAAAACCAACTGGTAGACAAAGAGAGACACACCCTCTTCCAGAAGGGCGCAGTACAATACACGCCAGAGGAAGACGGGTTCTTCAGCAATATTTTCCTAGTCAGGAAGAAGACTATCGACCTGTCCTCAATCTACGAGACCTGAATCAATACGTAGTATACAGGCACTTCAAAATGGAGGGCATCCACCTCATCCAGGACCTTCGAATCACAGATGATTGGTTCACACGCCTGGATTTGAAGGACGCATACCTGTCAGTACCCATTGCCCCAGACTTTTGTTGCTTCCTCCATACTTCCCAATTCACATGTCTGCCATTTGGGCTCAGCTCCGCTCCATGGTGCTTCACAAAACAGTGATGGCTCACATCCGAACATCAGGCGTGCGATGTCTCGTTTATCAGGACGAGTTGCTGATTTTCTGCGAATCCGCATCCAGACTACGATTGCAGACGGAATTTGTTGTTCACTTACTGGAATCCTTGGGTTTCATAGTGAACAGACAAAAATTGTCTCTCTCTCCCGCCCAGTCGGTTCTGTTCCTCAGATTCGAGATCGACTCAAAGAACTGTGTACTACGGCTCCCCACAGCGAAGATAGCCTCTATATGGAGAGAGATCAGACAGGTCCTTCGGATGGAGACTCTCGCACGATGTTCGGACAGAACTTTGATGGTGGCTTCTACACATGCAAACCTGGAATGGAAAAGCAATATTTGGCTCATCCCCAGACTTCATAGTGGAGACAGACGCCAGCCTCTGGGGCTAGGGTGCACACTGCGTGGACTTCTCCACAGGGGGACCGTGGCAGGGTGAAGAGACCGATCTCCACATCAATTGCCTGGAATTAATAGCGGGGTCCTCCGCCATTCGCAGCCTAGCCCAAAACATGTCAGACTGCAGCATTCTGCTCCGCATGGACAATATCTCGACGGTACAATACATCAACCGCCTGGGCGGAGCCAGATCCCAAGCCCTCACAGAGATCACCAAGGACACCAATTCTGCCTATCACGCAACATCACACTTCGGGCAGAATACCTACCAGGGACTTCCAACCTGATGGCGGACTGGTTCTCTCGACACTGGAGGGACACCAGCGACTGGAAACTCAACACCTCAAGTTTTCAACAACTGTGGCTCCGGAGACATCCGTTGAGTCTGGACCTATTCGCGTCCCGGACCAACCACCAACTACCGAATTATTAAAGTTGGCTACTGGACCTGAATTGCAAGGCAGTGGATGCATTCCTGCAAACATGGCCAGAACATGGGGAATACGCCTTTCCCCCATTCTCCATGATTGCGAGAGTGATCCGACAGGTACGGCTCCACAAGATATCCCTGCTGCTTCTTACGCTCCTGTGGCAGAGTCAGGCATAGTTCCCGGTCCTATTAGAGATGTCCTACGACACGCTGCTCCTGATTCAGTCCTTCCCTCTACTTCTGAAGGGACCACGAGGGGAACCTCACCCCCTCGTTTTAGATCAGAAGCTAGACCTGGTAGCCTGGACGATTTCAGGGGTTTCTGGTCAGTCCAGGGGCTATCACAATCTACTAAGGACCTCCTATGGGATTCATGGGCATGCGGCACCAGAAGATGTTACATTACTGGTGTATGGAGACGGACTCCGATCCTTTTACAGCACCTATTCTGGTGATACTTAACTATCTGTCTCATCTGTTCACACAAGGGCGGGCATACCGATCCGTTAATGTGACCAGATCGGCCATATCGGCAGCACACGTACCAAAACACGGCATCCCGGTGGGTCAAGACCCGTTGGTTTGCCGCTTACCTCGGGGTGCCAAGCTTTCGAGACTGCCAGCACCGAAATATTCATGCCTATGGCATATGGATGTGTTACTACACTTCCTGAGGGAATGGCCGGATAACCCCTGTTGCTGAAGCAAATCTCAGCCAAACTTACCCTGTTACTATGTCTGGTTTCTTTCCATCGCGTATCAGACGTACGGGCGTTTTGATGTTGATGGTTTCACCTTCACTCCTGAAGGGGTTACCTTCCAGATATCAGGTCAGACCAAATTGAACTCCTCGTTGGTTTTTTACCCGTTTTTTGTAACAGACCCAAGACTGTGTGTGGTTAGGACATTAAAGCGCTATATAGAAGTCTCAGCTCCCCTCCGAACATCATTGGCGGGTCAGCTTCTGATTTCATACATGAAACCCCACGGCCCGGTGTCTGCTACGACCTTGGCCAGATGGATACGCTGGCTTTTAACGTTAGCCGGTGTTGAACCATATTTTGGGGCCCATTCAGTCAGGGGAGCGGCCACCTCACAGGCATTGTCGGCAGGGGGCTTCCCTGGCCAATATTATGCGTTGTGCGGATTGGACGCGGGAGAGTAAATTTCGAACGTTCTACTTTAGGCAGACTTCGCATGCATCTCTTACTTTGGTTAATTCATAGCGTTAAAAATGCAAATAGAAAGCCTCCTGTCATGTGGTAAAATTGAAGATAATGCTCGCTTTAGTGTACTAATAATCTTAATTTTAGTAATGACAGGAGGCGAGTATTTCCCACCCGATTGGTTAATTCCCTCCCTGTTGTTTCTATTATTTGATAACTTTCTAAATGGTTGCTGAGTTATATTGTTTATTAATAATGGGCATACTTATATAGTATTGACACTATAATATTGGTTTGTTAGTTTACCCTATATACCTAACTATGGCTAGTCTTATCAAATGCATTAAATGCGGGCAAATTGCCATTACAGAGAACTTTCACTTATTTCTTTTTCTTTCAACATAATGGGATACTGATCAAAGATGGACTCATCGCTCTACTTATACGTTTGAATTTTTTTGGGGAATTCTAATGTTGCTCTTGGACTACAAGTTGGACTGATATTATAGTTTAAATTTTCCTGTTTTTATGTTTTATTATACCTGTTTATATCCTCGCTACAAAGAAAGAGGAAATTATGTCACTGTCAGGGCCTTTTATGTGCCATCTACTTTTTTCTGATTGGTTGTTACTGTTTCTGTGCTGCTGGAGATTTTCAGTAAAGAGAGTTATGCAAATAC